CCACCAACTCCGGAGGCGCCGTCAAGGGCTCGGTCAGAGCAGGGCAACATGTTTATGTAGGCTCTGGGGCCGCCATCGAAGGCCCAGACAATGTGAGGCAGTTTGGCTCCACCGGAACCGAGGCCACCGTCGAAGGTCCGGACGTGGCGGGGCGGCTCGATTCCGCCGGCTCCGGGGGTACATCCTTCCCCTCCTACCTCACGCCATGCCACGGGAAGGGCCCCGCCTGTGGCGAAGGTGGGTCCTTGTCCTCGGTAGCCAGATCATCCCATGGGATGGGCGACATGGAGCCATCATCTTCCTCCTCCTCTTCTTCTTCGTCCTCTTTCTCCGATGAGCCTTGACACCACTTCCCTCGCTGCAGTTTCGCTCGCTGCTTCGACCACCATTTCTTCTCTTCGTCGTCCTTCTTTCTTCTTCCGCCGTTCATCCGCGGCACGGTTTGCCGCCCTTATGGCTGCGTGCTCTGGCAGCAGCGCGATGGAGTCCCGGATGACTAACCCCGCCGACAGCTCGATGAAGCCCGTGTTCAGCCACATCACGAGATGCCCCAGGATCAAGAACATGGCGTCGGCCTCCCCTGTGGCCTCCTTGACATGCTGCATGACCTCACTATCGTGGAGCAGCCCATGGGTGAGCGTCATCCCGATGAGCTGAGCGTTGGGCGTCATCCCTTACAGCGGGAGGAAGCACGCCATCAGAAGGGCCACCCTCCTCGCGTGATACCCCCTGATGACACCGGCCCCGCAAAGGCCGTGGGTCTTTAGGAACATGATGGCCTCGAGGAGGTCGCGCATCCTCTTCTTTTCCTTGATAGGTGGCCCCCACGGCCATGACGGCAGAACCTCTTCGATCAGACACCCGGAGAAGACAGGCAAGGGTGCGGCAGGGTCGTCCTTCAAGTAGAACCAATGCGAGTGCCACCCCTTGTTGGATCTAGAATGCTGGCAGGGCATGTACTTGGCTGCCCGCTGCCCCGGAGGTGGATGCCCGTGCATCCGATCGGCACTAGGGTCTCTCGACTTCTCTCCTTCTTCATCAAGGAGATGGAGAAAAAATATCTCCAGAGCTCGAAGTGGGGCTCGATCCCCAGGTACCCCTCTCACATCATGATGAAGGCCGCGATGTGCTGGATCCCATTGGGGTTCAAGTGCTGCAGCTCAATCTGATAATGGTGCAGTAGACCTTGGAAGAATGGGTGAGGAGGAACCGCGAGTCCGCGCTCGTGGAAGAGTGTGAAGGAGATGATATAGTCGTCGTGCAGCGTCGGCACCTCCTAGCTTCCAGGCATAAGCCACTCCGCCGCATTGGTCCTCCCGTGGAGAAGACCACGCTTGACGAGGCCCTCCATGCGCGCATAGGTAACATCGGAGCGATGCCACAAATCCATGGAGGATGGAGGTGGCTACAGAGAAGCAAAGGCGGCGACAGAGGAGCAGAGGCTACAGATCTAGGGCTCTAGAGGCGGACTAGCAAGCACGATAGATTCGGACGGCGGCGACGGAAAAATAGAGAAGGTAAGGATGCGGTTTTGGTGTGCAGAAACATAAAGGAGGAGGCCGCTATTTATAAGGCAAAGTAGGGCGAGAAGGCGAACTATCCACCTAGATTCATGCGCCCACTATGCCACGTCACGTCACCTCCCTCCGAAGATCGCGCGCACGCAATCTCGGTCCGCGCCCTCGAAGGATACGCTGGATGACGGATCGCCCGTTCAATGGGCCAAGAACCGTCGCACGTAAGAAGGGATCCAGAGCTGAAAATGCTTCTACGGCCCATTTAGGACTAGGAGTTCGAAGGCCGACCCACCGACGGGTTCACAACCACTCCGGGGCACCCTTAGAGCAAGGGGTGGAAAGGGATGGGCCCACTAGCGGCCAGTACCCAGGCGCACGAGCATCGCGGGCATCCTGGCCCATGTTTGAGTCTTGGTCGGCTCCCAGTCCATGGTTTTTCCTTGAAGAAATGTGACGAACCCTTGGGACCGGTTGAATGGGCCTAAGAACTATATGGATTGGCCACTGAGATTCTGGAGTCGGTCACCAGCTGACCCATGTCGAACACCCGTGAACGGGAAGCCGAGGCCCCACTCAGACTAGCCCGTTAACAGCTCACTGAGCACCATGTTTCATCCATCGAGGAAAAACGTGGCACGGCTCAGCCCCTCCGTTTTATCGAAAAAGACGCTAGAAGGATAACAATCACAAAGACGAGCCGACCCTCGATCAGACCCCTGCTACACGTGGGGGCTTGAGCGAAGTTGGACTCGTAAGGTGACCTAATACGCGGTCGTAGTACGACGGCGGACCGATCGGATCCTAGGGGACTAGAATCAAGAAAAATCTTTCCGACCTCCCGAATCCTACGATTACATGCCCCCAAGAAGACCGATCATGACAAAAGGGAATCGTCGTCCTACCAGGACAACGCGGGCTACAAAAAGAAGGCCAAGGCCCTCAGAGTCTTTCCGTCCGGAAAAGCCTTCAAAGGAGTATTCTACTCCTCCGCAGGCTCGGGGGCTGCTGTCGGGTATCGATAGTAGAGATACCCAAAGCAAGGAAGTTAGCGCCCACGCTGACTTCTAAGGATGGCAACGGATCGGGTTTGGATCGGGTGGAGTCTCCGTGCACCCAAAACCAAAACCCGAAATCGAAACCCGAATCCGCCCCGAAAACCGATTCGGGTGGAAATCCATCACCAAAACCAAACCCGCGGATACCCGAAACCCGAACGGATACCCGAAACCCGAATGGATACCCGAAACCTGCGGATATATATACACATATTCACATGTATAAACAAGAGGCAATAAATAATAAATATTTTCATGAGTCAACTTTAAATAAATTTAATAATCTAAGTAAACAAATTATTATTAGTATATTATAAAACATGAGTTTTAATTCTAAATGATTTATTTCGGATATCTATTGGATATCCACGGGTGGAAAACCAAACCCGAAACCGAACCCGAATGGTTTCGGGGCCCCGAACCCGAAAACCGTGGGTGAAAAACCAGCCCCAAACCCGAACCCGTAGAACCCGAAACCCGCGGATATCCGCCCCAAACCCGATCCGTTGCCATCCTTACTGACTTCCCTAGGTGGAGCAAGACGTATTAAAAGGCATCGCCCGACCCCAAGGCCGCGGGGCTCCGTCTCGCCTGACCCGTTGGGTGCGGGCTCCGTCTCGTCCGACCCCAAGGACGCGGTTTCTGTCTCGCCTAACCCCAAGGCCGCGGGGTCTCGCCTAAGGCTGTAGGGCTCCGTCTTGCCCAACCCCTTGGGTGTAGGCTCCGTCTCGCCCGATCCTAAGCACATGGTTTTCGTCTCGCCCAAGGCCGCGGGCTCCGCCTCGTCCGACCCCAAAGCCACGGGCTCCGTCTTGCCCAACTCTTTGGGTGCGGACTCTGTCTCACCTGACCCAAGGACACAATTTTCGTCTCGCCCAAGGCCGCGGGCTCCACCTCACCCGACCCTAAGGCCGCGAACTTTGTCTCACCCGACCCCTTGGGTGCGGGCCCCGTCTCGTCCGATGGGGACCCATACCGCCGTCAACCACTCCAGGTCCAAACGTATGGGCATGGGTCAAAACTCTGACACCAGGGAAGAGACTGGCATGACTCGATGCAACCCGTGACCATGACGGGCCATACCTGAGGATTCACTTCAAGAACAGCGTCGGGCGTGCTGGTGCTGTTCTGCCTAACACTCGTACGAACGCTGACAGGCGTGTCAGTTCACCACGGCGTCCGGTGGGACGGGATGGAACGCCATGACCGGCAGATGACGCATGTGCGTGGCGCCAGTGACGAACAGGGGCCACGATGTGGAGCCATCCCGGTTGACATCTACAGGATCGGCGGGACCCCCTGAAGGAGAAAAAGGACCCGATGATTCTAGAAGTCTTCTTCTTTTTCTCGCTCTTCTTCTTTTTCTCCACTGTAACCCGCGCTTTCTCTTCGCTTATAAAAGGGGAAGCAGTGCGCCCCATGAAGAGGGGCCAGATCCGCATGAGGATGGAACCACGAGATAAACACACAAGAGCACGACACGAGCAGACGGCTGAGCAGCGATCGAACTCTCAGCGTCCGTTCACTCCTTTCACCAGAGACTTGGGATCCTTTCCCTCTCTCACCCGTTTGTAACCCCTACTGCAAATCAAGTACCAGTAACACGAGCAGCAACAAACTAGACGTAGGGACGTTGAGTCGGAACTAATATAAACCCTTGTATTCTCCGAGCACACCATCCGAGTCAGACGCGCAAATACAAATTTACTCGTCGGTGATCCGAAAACACTGACACCCAGCTATCTCTATCATGCAGGCCAGCTCCAATAATCAAATGTGCACGCAACAGGCAGTCAGTGCCAAATGACCGAACCCTACTCCCTAGTTAAAGTAAATGCGCGCATACATATTACAGAGCAGGCTAGCACCAAACGTAGGCAGAACCAGGTCCCTGCACCACCAGGCGTGGCCCCACACTTGCTTTCCCGTGCACGCGCGGGCAGCAGCACGCAGGTGCGCGGGTCCGGACACGAACGTGCGGACGCTAGCATATCCCCTACTACAAGTGCCTTTATGACCGACTAAGATTGCTCAGTTGTATGGGTCAATTCATTTGGCTCGTACGATTTTAGCATGCAAATTATTCGGGAGATGGCTGGATAGACGAAGAATTTGGCAGATTGAACACGAACCGCATAAACAAAAGCACCTGCGCGCGAACATACATTTTGGACAGCACCAACGCGTTTATTACAAGAAGTCGTGACTCGTGAGAAACCACACAGGACAAGTGAATTAATTTGGAACAGCAGCCTATTCGTTTGCTCGTAAACGATCGTAAATTTCCAGTCGGAAACAGTGTTTTTCTCTCATACCTAACCAGCCAGCAGTAAATAATCCACGATACGATACGGCCTCCCGAACAGGCTGCAGATCGAGGAGGCGGCCAAATCGAAAGGAGCTAGAAATCAACTGACTAATTTTTTAATTAATCCACGAACGCGTACTGCTCGTAGCGCACGCTGCAGTCGACGAGCACGGCCCTGGCGCCGACGCTGTGGCCGCAGGAGGCGTCCATCTGGCTGACGGCGGAGCGGAGGCACGTCCCGCAGTCCGCGGCGGACAGCGCCGCCCGGCACGCGGCGTGCCCGTACGCGAAGGCGGCCGGGTATGGGGAGATGTCGTAGAAGTCGCGGCCGGCCCGGGCCGGCGTGGCGGACACCAGCTCCGACAGCACGTACGCCAGGCTCGTCGCGAAGGGGTCCCCGGCGCCGTAGGACGCGCCGTTGCACAGCACCGAGAGCGCCTCCGTGTTGGGCGGCGCGGCCTCGGCGCCGCGCGTGTGCGAGGAAGCGAGCAGCAGCAGCAGCAGCCGCCACCACGGCGTGACGGAAGGAACAAGGAACGGTGCTGGTGGCTGGGTTGAGGAGGATGCCATGGTGATCGATGCTTTCTGTGCGTGTGTAGTAGCACGTTTTTGACTCGTGTGATCTTGTTCTTGGTGGTGATGGCGGTTGTGGTGGCGAAATGTATGAAGAGGGATAATAATAATCGACAAGACGTACGGGTAGGTCCAGGCCGGCCCGGCCGGCCGGCTAGGCTATGGCCCTGCTCTTTGTCATGGCGTGGATCGTGGGATCCTCCATTATTGGTGGATGACGTCAGCAACACAAGTGACTACGCTTGTTTGTTTGGGTAAATCGGGCTCCATCGTGCAGCAAGTGCCATTGTATGAGGTGCATAACTTTTAGCCTATTCTGCTTCCGTGGTAATATTATTTTATGCTTTTTAGCTTGAATTAGCCAAAGCTTGACATAAATTGGCTTGCTTAATACTCCATCCGTCCCAAAAGAATGCAATTATGTTATCCGTGCCATTTAGTCGAGCTCAAATTTAACCAAATTTATAGTAAATAGTATTAGTATTTATGTCTCTAGATAAATTTATTATAAAAATATATTCTATAGCTAATCTAATAAAACTTGTTTTGTATCATAAATGTTTATACTTTTTTATATAAATTTAGCCCTTGTTTAGTTCGCGAATTTTGGATTTTGGGGTTACTGTAGCACCTTCGTTTTTATTTGGCAAGTAGTGTTCAAATATGGACTAATTAGGCTCAAAACATTCGTCTCGCAATTTTCCACCAAACGGTGCAATTAGTTTTTCTTTTCGTCTATATTTAATGCTCCATACACGGGCCGTAAACATTCGATGTGACAGGTACTATAGCAACTTTTTGGAATTTGGGGTGGAACTAAACAAGGCGTTAGTCAAAACACTGGTTGTTTGACTCCTCGAAATCCAAGAATTGTATTCTTTTATGGACTGAGGTAATATCCTGTAGCAAGCCAGTGATTGGATTGCGTACATACATGTTTATTGTGGAGGGAGACCGACACGTCGACGGCATGCATCAGCAATTCAGGATGATCATCGCACTAGTCGGGGTGACTACTTAATTAAGAGAAAAATCCAGGATCTATGGTCAAAGCATTTGTTGCCTTGAGACTTTGGAGTGTACTGCTAGTGGAGCATCCGGAAAAAATGTTACAAAAATATTAGGGCTCGAAATCTAATGACCTGGCCTGTTTGGTTGGTGCCAAAGTTTACCATGTCTAACCTTCGTCAAATTATGGCTGCCGGTGCGAAATGTGGCCAACAAGTAAATTTTTATAGTTTTTATTGTGCGTTGTGATCAGATGTGGCCTAACACCTAATGACACAGGATTTATACTGGTTCGGTCAACATGCCCTACGTCCAGTTGAAGTCGGTCGGTGACTTTGTTCCTGAACCCAGGTGCTCGAAGTTTGATGTGGGGATACAAACGAGTAAGGAATGAGAAGGGGTGTTAGAGGCACGGTCGGACTCTGAGCCGAGTGGAAGAGAGTGACAGATGGTCAAACGTGCGCTAAGTATCAGCGCGTATGCTCTGTATGTCCGAGCTTATCAGCTGTTGAGAGCGTGTAGACTGTGTAGCTATCGAGCTCTAGAGCCGTTATGCTATTGTCCTTGAGTCTTCGAGTCTTCGGGGCTTCGGGGGCTTCAAAGCTTCTGTCCTCCTGGTAGGAAAAAGCGCATCTCTTTTTATAGTTGAAGGGGATGACCTTACAAGTCAGAGAGAAAGAGAGAGTTCATACGGGCGCTGCCTAGTCTTGTTGCCCACGTCATCGGGTACGGGATGGTCGTCAACGCCCATAATACTATTTATGTTCAGACATGTCTGGCAGGCTCTACCATGTTCGTCTAGTACGACAAATGACGACGCCCACAATACTATTTATGCTCTGACGCGTCTGGCAGGCTCTACCGTGTTCGCCTAACATGCTCCGATGGTACCGTCCTGCAGGTGCGCAGGGCATGGCAGGGTACGGTCCTCGGTATTGCGGTTGACTTGAGCGCCTTACCTTATCTACTCCGCCTGCTCCCCGGGCCCATATCAAGCTGTGTCCTCGGTCGGTCGCTCCCAGTCGTCCCCGACCGTGTCGGTCGGGAAAGAACAGCGAGCAAAGACCATGTCGTATTCTCGGTCGGAGAAAGGGGGTCGGAGTCGGACTGTGGTGCCACCACGGCCAGACCTTCCGGTCGCACCTCCGATTAGATCTCCTGGTCGGAGGTGCCGGTCGGGGATCGGATCGTGGTCTTGACCTGTCATTGTGTATCTGGGCCGGTCCAGACACGTGCTGTCGCTGCACCGCCTGTTGGGCTGAGTTTTGCAGGGAAACGGGTCCATTGGGGACCCCGGGTTTATGAACCCGACAATGGCTCTCACAAAAGTGCGGCGGGTAAAATGGAAGCCACATTTGTGATAAAGTTTGACACACAAAAATAAGTCTATGACATATGGGACACAGGGTGCTAAAAATGTGTGGCACGTAATAGTTGTGGCAATGAATCAAACAATTGCTGAAAAACTATGATATAACTAACCTTTGGCGTGATAAGTTTTGTCACGAATCAAACCAGCCCTAGAGAGCAAGCCCATGGAGATACGGTAGTGTTGCATGATCATGATTCATGATTAGCCGGAGTTTGCTTTGGTTTTTGCAGCAAAGGAAGATGGATGGGATTTGGGGATCCAAGAGAGCCTAGAAATTATTAACCAGAGATCTCCTATACTAGATAGGAGAACCCTATTATATTATTTTTCTGGTTTCTTCTTAAACCACGTCACTCCTTTTCTTTGGACTCGTCGTTCCTCCATTCCACTATCGATTGGCCGGTCTACCGCAACACACTATCTATTGGTCTGCCACGAGAAACTGCTACTGCTGCGAATGCATGCAGAAGAAACCAATGGTCATCGCCACAGTCGAGTTTAAATAAGTCTGCTCCGCCTAGGCATGTCCTGCCCCGCTCGGTAGTACCGCACTGCATCACGCCGCCTCCATCGGGTTTTTTTTATAGGGGCCGGGCGGCAGTTTTTTAGCGTGAGATGGAAGATATATTTGATAATGACGTGCGGTGGTTTTCTTCTGATGGGTCCCACAACTGATACCCTATGTCTGTTATTATCTATCTATGCGTGTGTGTGTGTTTTACAAAATTTAAACTATAATTGCGGGGTTGTTTTAGACATAAGAAACTACCTAATGTGTTTTTACAGGTTACACGTGAGTAGTTAGATGCTTTCATCTTTTGTCATATTACCAGATACATGTATTTTCTGTATCATGGTATGTATTTGATTGATAGGTGTTTTAAACGTAGCGTTTTGTTAGGCTTTACTCAAGATGGATCGTTACTTTCCCTTAAAATATTTCGAGCTATAATCATGAAGAATGAAAGAAATATTTTTCTCATCATCCTCATCCCATGTTACACTACAAAAAGTCCGCAGCAATGCGGGGTATTTACTATATAAAAACAGAGTCTTGGGCCCGGACCAAAATACGATTCCCTGCCTTCTAGAACAGTAGAATCTAGACACGGACGTGGGTCCAAGCTCACGACGTTTACCACTGCCGCATTCGTTGTATTGGGAACACATTAGTACGTTGAAGACAAATTCAGGCAGATAGGGATGATTGGAGGAGGTCTATTTACCCATCCTTACTCGTCCACAAGCCACACCATCTTTGAAACTTTAAACGGCTAAACACCACTTGCGCCACCAAGTTGTGGCAAACCATGATGACGGTACTGCTGCTGCCACGAATAAGATAAGTTGAGGTTTCTTATATGGTAACCCTGAGTTCTGAGTCGGTGACTCGCCATGAGTGCTTATATTTTAAATCAATTATTATTTGAATAGGACGCGAGATGTGAATGTCCAAAACGAGATGTCTTCGGTAATTTCATCAACCTTTAGGCTCTTGGAGGCACGCGTTCACAAGGAGAAAGTGCGTGTACTATACATTCGTGGTATAAATGTGCAAGTGTATGTTCATAGGTGTAATTGTGTGTCCATGTCTATAAATATCTGAGTCTATATTGTATTTTCAAATAAAATGATAAAATGGTTAGATGATATCCATATATTGAACAACAGAGGGCGCATAGTACTGCAACTTGCTAGGTTGAGAGAGGCCTCTCCCCTTAAGGCCTTAACTAGAGATCCTCGACTAGGTTCATTGGACATTCCACCATTATTATCATCCTTCTCTATCTCTTATTTCATCTCTCGAGCGCTTCCATCTACACATCAGCACACCACCCACCCCTCCCCCAACTTGCCTCCCCAATAGCTTTTGACATCTCCTAGTGCCATCACCGCTTACCCTACCACCACCGCTACCGTCTTATGTCGCCACGCTGTTAGCCCAGCCTTCCTAAACCACACCAACAGCCCCGCCGAACGACGACACCACACCGCCTATCTGCCTTGACCTAAAAGGTTGGCCATTGCTACACAAGATAGGAATTATGTGGATGCATAGAGATCGTAACGAGACACTACGTTATTCACACAATCTCTAAAGTTTGGTTTGTCGTCAGTGAAGCAAGAAAACTATAATTTTATTGACTTAGTTTTTTTAGAAGAGAAATAAAAACAGCTCACCACAAACAGCATAACTAGCATAATAAGTTACGCGTAACTGCTATAATTCCCACCAGATGCCTATGGCTCCTTGATCAGCAGACCCATTCTGGCTGGCTACTGCCACGGTGGCACACGCCGTCAAAGCACGGCCGCATGCAGGCCGGGCCCCGCGTGGGGCGCCGTGGCCACGCCCCCGGCCGGTCGTCTGCATCTGCATGGCACGCACGGACGGCCTTCTGACCGTCCCGATCCGATGCATCGTGCTACAGCACTCCGCGCGCCCTACACACTTACGGAGTATACAGTACACACGCGACGACGCGAACCAACTACAGCTGCACCGCGCCTATATATGCGGCTGCCGCGCGCCGCTCTTCCCCGGCCAGCGGACACGGCCGGTCGTGTCGTCGTGTTGCCGACTTGCTGTGTCGTGTGGTGTACTGGTGAGGTTCCG